TTTGTCTCCACCAGACCCACAAACAGTGCATCCCATTCCCTAACAACTTCCTTCAGATATAAGGTGGCTTCCTTCTTGCGAGCCCCCCTACAATTCCAAAAAACTAAAGAAGTCATTTGGATAAGAAAGGGGAGGATCCCGCATTTCTTCTCTTCTTATCATTCAATTTGTTCAATCTAGCTGAGTTATTAAGGGGACCAAGATTTCTAAGTTCTTTGGATAATATCAGTTTGCTCCCTCCAATAACCGTTTTACCCAAACATCCGGGATCTTTATCAAATACTTCCATAGCAGATTTAGGAGTTATTTCCCTCTTTTCAATAAACGAATTTTCAATAGGATCCTCCAACAATTCCCCTTCTTCCACCTCCACACAACTATTTCCCTCTTTATCAATAGCATTATCTTCCATTATAGCATTAAGAATATCAAATTTATTAGCATCAACACTAATAAAATTCGAAGCCAAAGAAAGAGGAATACCAAGATTATCCTGAGTAGAAGCATTCCTGAAGATTGACCTCTCTTCAGAAACAGGGTCTTCAATAGTTCTGTCAGTCACCACCAAATCACTTGTCTTGTAATTTTTTGTCCTTGAAGAAACCGCTAGATTGATGCTATTATCAACAATTTTATCAGAATTTGCTGAATAATTTTTAAAGTCCCCCACCACATTCACATCAGGAGCATTACTTTTTGAAGTAGATAAAGGATCCACTCCACTACTTCTCCTAGCATATCCAGGTAGAGTGTCCACTCTTGCTTTCCATACAGCTCCAGGTTTAGAAATGGAAGAATTCCTCTGAGCTCCTATATTTCTTCTTAACTTCTTCTTATTATTGACCAGAATCCACGGACCGTATGTCTGTTCCTCCAAGGCTTCAGCTGGTTCAATAGTTCTTTCCAAATCATTGTTGTTTCCACCTTTCTTCTTCATACAACTGGATGAATTGTGTTTCTTCAGTTCAGGACAGAGTTCAGCCACATGCCCAATTCTACCACATTGAAAGCATAAAGAGGAAATCTTCTCATACTCAAATTTCTGAAAAAATCTTCCCTCACTTCCATCAACCCAAACTCCTAAATGAAGTTTTTTATCAAGCTCAACTCGAATACAAATTCGCGCAAACTCCCTTCTTCCCCATTGAAATATATTGCCATCAATTAAGAGAGGAGTACCAACCATTGAGGCAATCCTTGATACATTCGTTTCATCCCAACAATATAAAGGGAGGTTGGGCATTCTTATCCAAATCGGAGAAACCAGCCCTTTCAAGGACACCGGATTGAATGAAGGATTCCACCTTTCCATTCCAACGATATGGTTATTAACAAACCAAGGACCACCAGCAAATACCTTTTCCCATGCTATCATTCGTCAAGAAAGAACAAAGAACCCATCCAGATCCCAGCACCGTCAGATTGAACTTCCCAAAATGAGTCCATTGTCTTCTCAGCTCTCCTGCAATCACCTGGGTAGGAAGTGTTCTGCCAAACTCTTTAACTACCAATGAGGACTGTAATTTCAACATGTTGTTTTGAACATTAGGTTCGTAAAGCCGAACCACATATCCATCTTCTGAATAATAATGATCAACATTCTTCATGTCCACCTTGATGTATGGACGCTTCAATCAAGGATTACCAGTTCTTCCTTCAACAACTTCCAAATTGTTGCTACTAACTTCTTTAGGAGGAACAGGCACAGAAGCGTTATCACAACCATTTGAAATACCATTTGGATTCTCAATGAAATTCATAGCCTTAACAACCACATAATCAGGTTTTGTGTTCACAAACCTATTCACAAACAACTTCATGCACATGATGAAGAATCCATAAGAGAATTGTAACGAAAACCAGGTGAATTATTCAAAATCACCTCCTCCATAATCTACTTTCCTTTACCTTCTACTAGAGTAGAAATAAGAGTTCTAGCCTCAGACGGTTCCTTGATTCGCAGATAACCATATGATCAGAAACCACTTGGAACAGATAAGCAATTTGATTTATCTGGTTCAGGAATCAAATTATGGCCATCACCGTCGGACGACGGAAGGCCGTTCATGACGGGCGAAATAACCGCACCGAAAAGTCGAAGACGAAATTTGAAAAACCATTGAAAATTCTGGACCTTCTCTCTCTAACCTTCTCTCTCTACTTTACTTGAACTTAATCATTACTTCTCTTCTATTTTCTTAGCTAACTTATACATACAATTTGTGTCATTCTTAGTATCTAATATATTATATAAATTATTAAAAGCTATATTTTTTTCTTTCTTAGACTCCTTCCGGGCCCATTTATATTTTTTTTATTTTTTTCAAGCATTTATATCTAAACCAATTTTTATAATTTTTTTTACTTTTTATCATTTCTTGCACATTTGGATTCCACCGCCAACTATTTTTATTATTAAGGAATTTTCTCCTCGATACTCCACACATATATTTTACAACATTCTTAAAATCATTAGTTGTTTTTTCAAACATAACATTAGCTTTCTTAGTCACAGTCAAAATCTTAAGATTTTAAATCTTACTCTAAAAAATATTTTTGTTAGTATTATGTTTGATGTATTATCATAAAATTATCTTGATCAAGCACAATCTCGAGGCAAAATCTTCCCAGAAACTTCAAAAATTAAAATTGAGAGAAGTTGAACTCCGATTTTAGCGAGCTTATAGTCAAACTGAGCGTCTAGGAAATACAAACACAACGACACCAAATTCGACCCAATCCGAGCCCAAATGGGTCCGAATCATGGACCCGAAGCGCTGTTGGAAGGTTCAAAAATCAATTTGAGTTAGCAAACGGTCTCCGATTTTAAAAAGCTTATACTCGAATCGAACGGCTTGACGAGAAAAATCCAACGAGCCCAAGATCACAGAATTCTGACATCATTAAGGCCTTCAAATGTCCAACGAACGGTTCACGATCGTAGGATTCGACATCGGCCGTTCATTCAACCACTCCCTATTCGCCCCTAATCTCACGCCTATTTACGAGCTATGTCACTCCAAAAAATCTATAAATAGAGCCCTCATTCTTCACAAGAGAGGATCTAAGCAAGAAGAGAAGAGAAGGAAGAAGCTCCTCCTCGACCGCCTCCGGAACATCGCCGGACCACCGCCGGAACATCGCCGGACCACTGCAGAAACATCGCCGGACCACCGCAGGAACATCGCTGGACCACCGCAGGAACCTCGCCAGACCACCGCAGGAACCTCGCCGGACCACCGCCGAAGCCTCGCCGGACCACCGCCGGAGCTTTGTTGCACCACCACCTCAAGGCCCGACGTTCTACTCAAGACCCGAAGTTCTGTTCAAGGCCAGACTACCAACTAACACCCGAACTGCTAGGTTACTTCCAAGTGATGCCAGGGTACTACCAAGTGACACCAGGTCTAACACCAGACTTCTATCGAACCATTGCTAATTGTAATCTGATCGCCCTTGGAGGCGGGTCAGCCCTTTGTAACTAACTCAAATTATAGTGGAATCATTTTCAACTGGGCTAGGCCCCGTGATTTTTCCCCTTTTTAAGGGTTTTCCACATAAAGAGTCTTGTTTTCTCTGTGTGTGTGCTGGATATCCGTGTAAAGCTAAGACGTATAATTAAAACTCTATTGCCGCGTATATTCAAGCCCGCAACAATTTTAATACTCCCATCTAATCATTGTATAAAATTTTACTTTATTTTTCATATTATGTCATTTTATCTTAAAGTCCAAAACTAATAAGTAATGTTTGATACATAAACTTTTACTCAAAATAACTTTATAATCTTTACATTCTATTTTCTTATAAGAAAATAAACATTATGAGTTTTGTGATAATCATTCTTATAAGTGATGAGATATTCATCTTTTTTCTTAAATAATATATTAATAATTACAAACTTATAAACCTGAGCGAAATCTAATATGGTTATACTATATTCATTAGTCACTCCAAGTTCATAGCCACTATGATTGCTTTTAGAATCTTCTACCGTTCTACCAATATGTTCATTTAAATCTCTTTAATAAATTTTTTTCTTCAAGATGTATCATTTCTATTAATGTTTTTAAATCATTCAAAAATTTTAATTTTGAACACATAACTAAACATATCTATAAAATATAAGAACTTATAATATTAATAATCTTTAAAGCTATAATTTATCTATAATTATATTAATTTTTACAATATTAGTCTTCAAACTCTTACTATAATCACACATTCACAATTTATAGTATGACTTCTACCTAAACACTATAGTTTAAATCTTAAACTATCAATCTCATTATATTTTAACTAATGAAAATTTTTTGATTACAAGACATTAGAAAAATTGTACATTAAAATTTAACAAAAAAATATACACCTATTAGAAGGAGAACAAGAATAATAGTAGTTTATATGTCTATTATTTAAATTTAAATATTAAAAAAAATGCTTAAATAAATAGATAAAATTTTCACTGTTTTTAATATCATTATTTTAATAATTTCAACATGCTCCCATTAAATTTTTTTTAAATATTAATAATATGCACTTAATTCAAAGTGCAATTAAATTAGTATGTTTATATGTTCTTTAGAGTAGCATGTCTACGTTAACGGTATTATGGTAAAGGCCTAGATGTCAAAATGGGTTGATGATTTTAATTCGAGTTGGACCCAAAAATGACCTGACCTGAATCAAGTCAATATGAACCTGATAAACGGGTAAAAAAAATCAAACTGAACACAATCTACTAGCAACCTGAATGAAGCAAACCCGAACCATTAACCCTCTTTTGTTAAAAGTTTTCTTACAACATATTAATTATTATATGTGATCAAAATTAAAAAAATTTATATTTACAAGAAAAACATTTTAATGATAAAAGATATTAAATATATTATTTTCTGATAAAAAATAAGTTTATGAGCCAACCTAAATCTGTCTCATTTAACAAACCTACCGGAAAATACAATTTGGTGGATTCTCATCGGGTGATCGTACATATTGATTGGGTAGGCCTGAAGTCCGAATAAGGCCATACTTGCTCACGGGTCGGGTCGAAGTCGTGGCCCGATAACTGAAGCGTTGTAAGTTTCTGAATGAAAATTTGCAATCTTGGTATGCCTTCGGTTTCCGTTCATTGCATGCTTTAGATGGGAGGGTTTACTGATTCTCGGAGTCCAGGCAATCGGACGGAGGCAAGTTCTCTAAGTCCTTGTAACTTCTCTTCTTTCGCTTCACGAATTTTCTTGATTATTTGAGCTTTTGACATAAAGTAATGGTTAAAGGTCCTTGTATGATTTATCTTTCGGGGGTTTTCTTACATTTGTAATTTCGGGGTTTTATATATGCCTTCACGCCTAGGTGTTAATTAGGGTTTGGTTTGGCAGTTGGTCTGCCCTTCTTTTTGGAGATTGATAATTACAAGGGATGTTTGGCTGCTAGTAGGGTTTATTTCCCTTATTTCAAATAAGATTCAGCAACTTCTGAGATTATTAAATCCTCTGAATCTTTTACTCATATTAGATCATGAAAAACTGTTTGAATTTTTGTTTCAGAAATTTAAATGAATAGGAGAATAGGCCAAAAAATTAGAGGGGAGGGTAAGAAAGAGCATTAGGGTTGAACCAAAACTTGGTTCCACCACTAGTCAAGGCCACGCACTTTTTTCATAGTGTATATGGGCTAATCAACACAACAGACATTGTTTAAAATCAGCACAGATTATTGAGTTGCCTTCCAAAAATTTCAAAAGAGATAATGCTCTCCATTGCTTGGTTTAAAAGCCAGAACAGATTCTGATCAAAATAATCAAAGCTCAAGTAAAATCACAACACTTTAAAGACATATTTGACCAGTATTTAGTACAACAACAACATCAAGCCTTTGTCCTACTACGTGGGGTCGGCTACATGAATTCTTTTTCACCATTGTGTCCTATTAAAAGTCAAATTCTCATTTAAATCTAACAGAGAAAGATCATTTCTAATATTTTCTAACCAAGTATTTTTAGGTATATTTCTTCCTTTCTTAACAGAAGTCAAATATAATACCTCAACTTTCCTAATCGGGTCATCGGAAGGCCTCTATTTAAGGTGACCAAAACATCTAAGGAAACTCTCTCTAATCTTATCTTCCACTGGAGCTACTCCAACCTTTTCACGTATATGCTTATTTCGTATCCTATTTCTAAGGGTAAAGCCACTCATCCACATAAGCATCCTCATCCATGTAACACTTAACTTAGTATTATGCTTCTCTTTTAATGGCCAACATTCGGCTCCATAAAGCATTGTAGGTTTCACCACCATCTTATAAAACTTTTCCTTAAGTTTGAGAGGGACTTTTCTATCGCACAACAAGCCCGATGCATTCCTCCACTTCAACCATCCAACTTGAATTCTGCTGATAATATCCCCATCTATTTCACCATCACTTTGAACAATAGATCCAAGATATCTAAAACGTGTACTCTTATTAATGACTTGATCGCCCAAAGTCACAATCCCCTCACTAGATAGCACTTCTCTTGGCCAGTATTTAGTAATTATAAAAGAGGTGCATAATAGAATATTACATACAAGTTTTCCAATTAATTTATCAAAAGTTTTTACAAACTTGAACTAATCAAAATATTACATTTAACTATATAATACATTATGACCTTTTCACCTGACATCTTAACAATGATGATAATGAGGTTCATGATAATTTTCTTGTTTTGAAATGAGATCAACTCCAGCCTTGATTTAGAAATGCAGCACCTATGGGCCTTCAACTTTGTTCTCGACAACAGCAGCAAGGGACATCTTAGGGCTTGATTTCCTTCAAGAGAGGAAATGATAGCAGTTCTCCTTGAATCCGCTCTTGTTGATGCAACAGGGTACTGCAGTTCCTGAATCCCGTCAAATCTCCTTAAATATAATTCCATGTAGGAGTTACTAAATCGTATTAAATCTTAAAATGGGTGTAAAATGAGATTTAACATAGCTGTGAGATTTAATCATCCCAAAAACCAATTTGATAGGATTTAGCTCAAACCTTGACAAAGCCCTGTCTAAAATTGGCTACCAAACAGCCTTTAAGAAAGATTGTTAAGATTGTGTAAGTTACAATTGCAGAATCATTACTGACAGCCGTAGCATGTTGTTAAGAAAGAATGGCAGCTAGCTAATGTAGTGGTATATTGGTGTAGAGTGGGCGGGGGAGTTGTGTAAGAATGTATATTTAAATGTTATGAGTTTTAGAGGTATAAGAGCATTAGAACAATCCAAAATCTTAGAATTACATGTGTTCTTTATATACATATAAAGAGGAGAGCTAGTTAAAATTAGAATGAAATGGTGTAATTGGATGGAACTCTACATATTTATATTTAAATGACTTTATACTTTGACTCACCTGGTGACTTGGGTTGTGGGTGATCAAATAGATGGCTACAATTTAAATCATTTCTTTATTTTTTCTTAAATTATATAAAGGGATTAACTGGTTAATCAAAGGCTTTTCTACAGGAAAAGTGCCATTTTGTGTTCGAATAAATTTTCAAAATTTAAGAAAGTAAATGCCTCTTTACAAAGGGACATGTGTTTCTTCATTAATGGAAAATTCTCCTTGCAAAGAAACATGAATTGTAGCTACTCAAATTCTAAATATTGTATTTTTAATCACTATTGAATACATTGAAAGAAACCATCTTCTTCCGATCATTTTCTGTTCTCTCCAATTTAGAAGTTCTAAAGAAAAACTTTCAGCATTGATGTCTACAAGTTATTGTTGATTTCATTTATCCTAGACGTAATTTTTTGATTGATCATTTTATGCATCCAACAATACGTTTCATTGCTTGTATGCAATGAAAGGTGAAGCTTGATGACTTCCTCCTATTAGGATTCTTTGATGGGTTCCCTAGAATTATTATTTATATCTCTCATTATATTATTATTTATATACATAATATCTTTATCACTTCATCTTGTCTCATATTCCATTGCTCAAGTTATAGGTAGCTCAGCTTTCATTTTTTTTCCAAAACTAAGAATATATTAAAATAAAAAATCGAGTACATGAGCAAAGAAGCAAAATGCCAGGAAAGCAAAAGAGAATACATAGGAAATTCAATCCCGAGGGCTCAGTAATTGGCCAAGACTTCCATCTTCCCTTAAGCCAAGCTCAGACCGTCCAATTTGGTGAATAGAAACATCGAAGCAGCCAACCTAACTGAGCAAGAGATCTACACCAAAGGTTGCCACGAGCCATGCCGACGAACAAGCGAACCCCAGCCACATCATTGCCCGACCAACAGAAAAAATAAATCGGAGAGCTCCAAAAAACAAGCACAATGTATCTGCCAGCAAGAAACATCATAGGAAGGCAAACAAAAGGTCCATCCAAACAGCCAAATTAACAATACCAGGGACTGCCAACCAGAAAGGCATCGAACAAGTAAACCAGGGAGGCAACCACCAACACCTCCCAAAGAAATTACCTACCACGTCTGCCCCTCCCACGAGCCCTTCCACGAGAGGCAACAGAAACAACCGTTTCGTCACGCAGCAAGGCAACAGTATTCCGAGGATCATCATCCCCAAACGATTATAAAGAAACAGAATCGGAATCGGACGAACATTGAAGCCAATCGAGATGCACACGCACATCAATCCCATAATTGTCCCCCACATGATACACCAAGGCTTGAGGGTCAATTAAATTAACTGGCACATCAACAAAAGAGTTATGAACCAAACCGGCATTTATAACAGGGGATGAACTTGAGGGGGCAGTAGACTTAGAGATCGAATTAGCAGAACCCTCACACACAACCCCACCCAAAATATCAGTAGCAGGAACAGACCCATTCGGGCATTCCACAACCACAGGAGGCATTGAAATACTAGCCAAGACGCCCGGGGCAGACATCACCGACAACATGGGACCATAATTAATAGCATAACCAAGATGACCATCAGCACTATTACAAGCCCGAGGTCCCCAGCCACAACCTTCACATAGGACACATCAGCACCAGCCTCATCAACAGGATTCAAACCATTTATCAAATTAACAGGCAAATGAGCAGTAGAAATAGGATCCAGAGAACCCAAATCAATAACAGGTGGAACAAAAGGTAAGGCATCAGGGGACAAAACAGTAGCAACATCGACAGGAATACCAACATCACCACCCAAAATTGGCACAACATTCTCCATCAAAATAGCCACATTCTCAACAGATTGGGGGACTAAATTAGCGGACAAGTTAAGAGCATCATTAGAACCAACATTAATCACATTTATTCCAGACATCGCGCACGGAGCAGCCATAGTTTTAGGCACATTTTTAAGATGAGGATGCAAAATACAACAAATATCCTTCAAATGGCCTAACTAGTTACAGTGCAAATAGAAATGGGGGATATCATCAAAAATAACAGATTGAACGTATCCCGTATTAGTAGAACCTACCCATATCTTATCAGGGAACTTTTTGGTGACATATGTTGGAGAATTTTTGTATCCTCAAACGGATTGCATATTTTATCATCGAGTGGGGCATAAGAACATGATATATTACCCGAAGGATAAAAATATCATTTTCTTATGGACTCAATAATAAATTTATAATTATTAACAGAGATTCCCCCACTCGATGTTTGGTGGAGTGGGGTTTATTTATTTCTGGGGTATAGACGTCCCATAGGGGCCAGCCCCTATGGTTAATTACATCCAAAATTTTGGCTTGGGATAACTTTTGATTAAACTAGTGGATTTCTTTCTTTTGCAGTCATTTAAATGTTGGCTAAAGTTTGATTTTTGTTTTAAAATTCATGAAAGTCTTAGTTAAAGGGATTTCGTCCTTTAGGAATTTTAAGGAGGAGTTGATCAACTCAGAAATTAGATTTCTTAGAACAAGGGCCAAAGGAAGTGAAGTAGGAGCACTTGATTCTGAGGGAAACTCAGAGGTGCTTAAATTATCCTATGTTGGGCTTTACATTTTAGCAATCTAATTTTGGTTTAAGTTAATATTTTTATTAGAAGATTGGGGCTTACATTCCAACAACGCTTGTTGGAGGAATTGCCCAAAAGATTAGGACTTATAGGGTGATTTGGAATCAACCCATGTCTCGGACCCTAAGATTAAGGTGAGGACTACCGATAGGTAGTGCATCGAACCTAAATCTAACAAGTGCAAAAGGAAC